TACTTAAGATGAGATCCGAATATATATATAAACATCATCACACGTCATTATCGGCACGGTTCATCATGTACCCTTTACACCTCGCAATGGCCCGCCCTATCTCCATTGTTTTGATATGAATTCCTAATGATACATCATGACAACAAAATGAAAACAAAAAATAAACGAAGCAGATGGGAAGCAGAAACGCAACTAATCTCTGGTTGGCGGGCTGGTCTGTTCAGACGTACAACCAGTGGCGCGCTCGGAACCTGGTCACCTCTTTCGTCCGCCGGATGTGGTCGTGCTCCTCGACGGGGGAGATGTTGATGGCGAGCCTCTGGAAAAAGACGCAGACCGCCAGAGGTCGTCGGGAGTGCATTTTGACAAGTCGCGTGGAAACGAGAATAGTTCGGGCACTAGTTAAAGTCTAAGAATGGATATCTGTCTCGCTAATCAGTGCACTGAGCTTGCTCACCTCCTTAAACGTTCCGGGGGTCTTGCACATCTGCACGATGGCGACAAGAGGGATCATGATGATGGAGGACATGGCCAGCCCCCAGCCAACAACCTCGGCCCAGGCCGGATAGTGGTACTCGTTGTACTGCAGCGGCTGGTGGTACAGCAGCCCGAACATGACCACGCCCTGCAGCACACACACAACGGGAGGCCCGTGAGCACGTTCTAGCACGAAACTCGATCGTTTTTGGAGCCGATGGCGCAAAGTGCGAGGAGAGAGCTAACTTACGATAATGAACAGGGGGCTGATGAACTTCCAGCAGATGCGCCAGTAGAGCCCGGGCGTGAAGCCCAGCATGGCGTGGACATCCTGCGAGAAGCGCTCCAGCCCTGAGCAGGAGAGAGGCATAGTGAGCGAGCACTGCACTAGAAAATCGTTTGTGTGAAGGTAATTCAATGTGGATTTTTTTCTGGTCATTTCGGGGTGTTTTTAGAGGGGGTATGGAGACTTATCAATTTTAACCGTGATGAAACTCACCGTAAAACCAGGACACGGCGATGGCCTCGAAGAGCGCCGAGCAGAGCAGAGAGATCCCCGCCGAGTACGTGTCGAACAGGTGGAACATGTAGATGCCGCCCTGACACACACAGATCCACACATTCACAATAAGAAAGGTCACGAGAAAGGATTTTAATTTTCCAGAAAAGTATTCTCGGAAATGTTCGGAAATATTTCAAGGTCTTTCGATATTTTTTTTTACAGTGCCTAGAAAATTGTTCAAATTTTTCCCTGAAAAATTTCGGACTTGAAACTTCCAAAAATAGTTAAGAGTACAAGATGTGGCGCACCGGCGTGACGTTGATCATGGCAACGCAGAAGCTGGTGCACACGGCGCACAGGGTGAACACCTCGCGCGCGTACTTCCGGCCGTGGAAGAAGCCGTGGAACTCGTCCATCAGCCCCGTGATGACGCACTCCATGCCGCCCATCTAGAACAGAGAGAACATGGTGGTGGTGAGGTACACCCAGAGTACACCCGGAGTACACCCGGAGTAAACCCGCGGAGTACACCCAGAGTACACCCGGAGTACATCCGGAGTAAACCTAGAGTACCGGGTGTAATTCGCTCGTCCCTAACTCAAAGCACGCACGGCGCAGCGCCTCTAGAGAAACCAAGTATCTTTGCGCGACGCTCGAGAAACCAAGTACCGTTGCGTGGCGCTCGAGAAACCAAGTATCGTTGCGAGACTCTAGTGAAACCACGTAACGCATTTTTTGACGAATTTTTAGGAACTATATATTTGAATAGAGGGAAATTTTCTCTATCGAATGGTATAGGTTTCAAAAATCACCCAAAAATGGAGATACGTGGTTTCACTAGAGTCGCGCAACGATACTTGGTTTCTCGAGCGCCGCGCAACGATACTTGGTTTCTCGAGCGTCGCGCAAAGATACTTGGTTTTTCTAGAGGCGCTGCGCCGTGCGTGCTTTGAGTTAGGGACGAGCGAATTGTGAATGCTCAGCAGTGTTGCGGGTTTGCCAACCCAATTCGCCCGTAAGGCGCCATGGCCCTTGCAGCCCTGGCGGGTATGCAATCCTGCAACACTGCTGCGCATTCACAGTTACACCCGGTACACCCGGATTACATCCGTAGTACACCCGTTGTCGTGGGTCGTGGTTACGCACCCCGCTGTCCAGCCCGAGCATGATGAGCATGAAGAAGAAGAGCAGCGACCAGAAGTGCGAGCCCGGCAGCGTGGCCACCGCCTCGGGGTAGACCTGGAACACCAGCCCGGGGCCCTCCGTGGCCACGTTGCTGATGTGGATGCCCTGCTTATGCGACATGAAGCCCAGGTAGGTGAAGATGACGAAGCCCGAGAAGAAGGACGTGAAGCAGTTGACTGCGGTGGTGATGAGGCAGTCGCTGCGAGAGACGGAACCAAAAATGTGAGTGCGGCGAATGAAAAAAATAAAAACAATAAGTAGCAGGACTCACTTGTAACAATTGTTGTCGAAGTGGTTGTAGGAGGCGTAGGACAGGTGCACGCCGAAGCCTGCCCCCACCGAGTAAAAGATCTGCACGGCCGCGTCCACCCACACCTGCTCGAGCAAAACACGGGACATTTTTGAAAATGATAAATCAGTTTTTTGGAACCCCTGAAACCACCCCACTTCGCCACCTTGCTGGCGTGCTGTTGGTGAACGGATGCTGCGGACCACACGCGCGCACGGCAACACCTCCAGGGCCCGTCACATCAAAGGCCCTGCCTCCGCCACAACAGGAGGCGGCCCTAAACGTGTTCCCAGAGGTCGGGCCGCGCCGCGCCAGGCAGCGTGCAGCCGCTAATGGGAAAGGGCCCGCTCCACCAGGGGCTAGGGGGACGCCCCGACAAGGCACACCTCAACTGGTAAGAGAGTTTTGTATTCAATCACTAACCAGTTGGTGACAAAATTCCATATTGTACTTGGAGGAGGTCGCCGAGAAACCCTTGTCGAATTTGTGTCGTCATGTTGAAACGGGACGACGCGAGCGGGGTTTGCAATCTCCCGAGAGGCTGCGCCGAAAACTCCAGTATTATATTGTCTGCATTGAGGCATCGCCCAGAAAGTCCGTCCGCGTTTTCCTCTGATTCATTCGGCACATTATGGGGCTAGGCGCCTGCGAGACCCAAGGTAGGCCACGCCGCAGGACACACGTGCACTGCAGGCGAGATGTGGCCTACCTGCCAGGCGCTATGAGAGGCACAGGCCAAAGTTTGGCGAATTCCGAACGGCAAATGGTGGAGGTACTTTCTGGATGATCTCTTACAGTCATCCGTCATCAGTCATTATTGAATGTATGATATTTTGAACTCATTCATTTTGTCAAGTGAGTTTGGCTACTAAAGTGAAGACGATTCTACTTGCAGTTTGCAGTTCCGGAGCAGCTTTCCCTCCGGCTGCTGCCACCACTGCCGATGCAGCCAGTGATCTGCGTGATGTGATTAGTGAGTGTTGATGATCAGAACGGCCGCGCCGCACCCGCCGCGCTACGGACAGCTGGCGGTGGCGGTGGGCCAAATAATGCTCAAAACTCCGAATAAATAAACTCATTAGAAATACAAATAATATGAATATCTATATATGGATCGCAATCTCCCCTGATGGCTTCTCTTTTTATTTCAAAATAAAAAGATATCGAGGTCTTTACGAAAGGAAAAGGATGGCGGGCACCGTGGTCCATCGGGAAGGTTAATATCCTATCCCCCTGTGAATCGCCTCGGCCCTGTTCGGCCCGGGCGGTTCCCTCGGCACAGCCGAGCCCAGCCGCCCCCCGCCCCGACCCCGCCTGCTCACGGCTCCGTCAATGGGGCATCCACATTTTCGCTCAGTTATGAGAAATTCCAAAGAAGGGTCGAC